ACAGTCTAATACTTTCTACTATTTCAAAAATCAAAATAAGTCGCTCTAAATAGGAGTACAATTGTACAAATTAAACGATGTGATTTCCCTAAACATGAGTGTTATTTCAATTCTATGTTTTTTTTATTAAAACAGAATAATTATTCACATCCTAAAACGACACTATCATGTTATTGCTGGGTAATGCAATAATAGAGTTTTTGTTATTTTTTGTCCCTCGACTATTGTGTTAGTGACACTTTGATAATCGACTTTTAATTTTTTCATTTTTAGTCCTCGACTATTATGCAAAAGACACTTTTAGTCATCGACTTCAAAGTTTCCCGCATTTAGTCCCCTGAGTATTACCAAATCAACACTTTTAGTCATTCAACTATGCTTTTGACAAAATTAGTGGACTAAAAATGTCACTATTATAATAGTTGAAAGACAAAAATATCAATTTTATGAAAGTCGAAGGATTAAATATGGAAATTTTCATAGACATGTACTACAGATGTCTCTAGCACAATAGTTGATGACTAAAAGTGGAAAAAATTAAAGTCGAGTGCCAAAAGTGTCAATGACATAATAGTCGGAAGACTAAAAGTGATAGAAACTCTGCAATAATATGATAGCATGATTTCAAAATAGCACTGTTCTTGCTTCTATTTTGGGAATTCTCACTTTTGTTAATTATTTTCACTTGGCTAACAAATGTGTGTTAAATGTGTTTCAAGTGAGATTGAAGCAAAGAAGTCGTTACTTTACGTTTATGAGTATGCTACACAAGGATTTGTAGCTATACTCACTCCTGAAGAGGCATCTCGTCTCTCTAGTAAGGCTTATTTTATTTTAGACATTGCACAGATCGATTCTTTCCACCTTATCATTGGTTTAGATTAGTCTAATATTTGATTTTACATCCCTTACCTATTTTATGCTGGTAGAAAGCTGTGCGGTAGGGATCCAGGAACACCTTACCTATTTATTAGAAAGTTAAAGCAACAAAATAAAGAGTAGAATGATCAAATCAAAGTCTACTCGAAAGCAAACACCAAAAAGGAGAACTGAAGAACTAAGGATAGAAATGAATGGGAAAATAGGCAGGGTGTTCCCCGGCCCTCGAGTAGAGAGACAAATGGAGAAAACGTTTCGAGTAGGCTTTGATTTGACTCTTCTACTCGAATTGTTTTCTTAATTAAAATTTGTAATCACTTTCAAAAAAAAAATTAAAATTTGTAATCACTAAATGAGTATAATATTTGAGCAGCTATTGTTTTTTATTTATTATAACTTGTAATCACGTAATAAATGTACAAAACACGTACTTAATACGGAGTAATATTTTTACAGACTTTAATTTAATTTGGGCATTACTTAATATTAAATACTTTTAACATCAATCAATATAATACTTTAACTTTATAAAAGTATTTTGCTTTTCAAGTGAATGACTGAATGTAATAAAGAATATGTGTGTTACGCCTTTTCACGTAAGGAATGCCATGCTACGTATTTCATTACTCCGTACGTATTATTATTAATATTTAATAGGACGTATTTTTTTTGAATTATATTTAATAGCACGTAATTGAAATTTCATTTTGACTGAATCTAGTTGGGGAAATTTAGTTGAATTTATATTTCGCAGAATATCCTGGTGTGCTATCAGTAGCCGAAGACCAACTTGTGGCATACAGCCCATCCAATGAAGTCAAGGATGACACATCATCCCAGATTTAGCACTTGAAAGATATCAAGAAAATACTATAATGAATTATCCTGGTGTATACGTCAATTTACACGCCCGTTCTTTTCATCTGTACTTAGACAATTATTTTTCATTTTTTTAAAAAAATTATGTGCGATTTCGAAAAAATTTAGTGTCTGAAGGCAACAGACAATTTTTCTTACAAAAATGAAAAAGTATTTGTCATCATGTGTTTATATAGAATGTTTCGAATACATAATACAGGCAATAAATTCGAAACAATGTGGGCATTATCATTGTTGGGAAAAAAATCTTATCTCATCGCAATAGGAATTGATTGACTGATTCTACTGAAATTTATGAAGTTCCGTTGGAGTGATTGGATTGACTGATTTAGTTTATTTATGAAAAAAATTACATTTAAAATATATTCTGTATATTAATAATAAAATAATGAAAAATTTATATGAAAATAATAATCTAAAATTGACCTCTACCGCAATTCAGCTAGAAATAATGAGTATCAACCTTACTTATTTTGATTGTTAATAGTTCAACACGTGAAATCAAAAGTTACGTGTTTGATGAAAAAGTTGATCTATAAAGCCGATAAATCGAGAAATAGGGTCATCAATCGTTGTTCCTAGGGGGTGTTTGGATCTGATTCTCAAAACTGATTCTGCTCCTTCAGGGAGCAGAAACAGAAGCTGGAGTGTTTGGGTGAAATTCCAGAAGCACTTCTGGAGCTCTAATTTACTCTCAGAATCAGTTTTTTTAGAAGCTGGGGGGTACCAGCTTCTGAAAACTGATTCTGATTCTACTTCTGCTTTTAAAAAAGAAGCAGAAGCAGAAGCAGTTCCAAACACCCCCCTAGTGTCTCATCGATGATATGATTTGCAAAGAGGGTTGCATAAAAGTTACGTGTTTGATGAAAAAATTGATCTACAAAAGCTCTTATTTAAAACTTCGTATTTTTATAAATAGATAAAAAAAATCACAAGGTGAGCTTACTATGACAATATTTATTTCACGAGTTGCTAGAGAAACATTCCTTTTGGAGGATTATGTTTGAACGCAGGAGCACTTTAATTATCAACACTTGACTCTAGTTGCTTGGGCCATCTTGGGCTAGTCAGGCTGGGCCCATATTAGGTTTTCCATTGTAAATTGTTTTTTTCATTGGGAAATTCTATATACAGCCCCATATTTACTAAGTACAGCCACACGTATTTTACTGTTCCTAATATACCCTTACACCATATCACACCTACGGTGTATCATCATCGGCTTTTCACTATCCAGTAAACCATTCATATCACCATCCACTATCAACGTAACTCGTTGCCTCTTACCATCCACTATAAACTCGTTGCCTCTTTTTGATTATCCCATATCAAATCATTAAAATTGATAAACATTTCAATTTAATAACAGAGGCGGCCATGAGATAATAAATTGAGAAAATCTCAAGAAAGAGATAAACATAACCCATATTTCCATCCAAGGAAAACGGAGGTAGCGACTCAGTCGGGCGACGGCCGGTGACGGCCGGCGAGAAAATGGCCGGAAACTACCAGGATCGAGGGACGTAGGGATTGGGGAGCTCTGGAGACTTTTGGGACGGACGATGAATACTTTGGTGCGGCAGCTGGAAATAAGGGTGATGGATAACTGACGACTACTCAAGCCAGCGATGGATGTAAGGACCGAGAAAGTAGCTCTGAATAGAGAAGCAACGACGAAGGAGAAGAGTGCAGACAAATTTGGGAATTTTCCAGCGAAGGCTCTTACACTGGCGTGGCTTCACCAGGAGACCCCTGCGATGACGAGATTGCTGGTGAGTTTCCTTGAAGCCGCCCAATTCTTCATCGGATGAATCACTGATTTTTTTTTGAACGGGATGAGTCACTGAGTTGTTCAATAACGATGAAGACAAGTTGCGCATCACTACAAGGAAATACATTTGGAGGAATACAGTGTTAAATAAAAGGGTATATTAGGAACTGTAAAATAATTGTGGCTGTAGTTAGCCTAAAAGGGTATGTTAGGAATTACCCTTTTTCATTTTCCCTGTATTCTTTAAACTTCACTTATCCTTTTACTTTTTTATTAATAAAATTGGTAAATGTTCCCCGACATTTACCACACCTTTCCAGGTGCATTTCGAAAAAAAAAAAGATAAAAAAATCACAAGTGTATGAGAGAATCTAATGCTCCAGACTTCCACAAAGTTAGAGTCTTACAGAAGCGAGCGATGAGTATATAAGATTTTGGGCTTCAGTGTAACCTTTACCTATATATTCACTTGTATACTTTGGCACCCATTTAAATAACATTATTATGAGGTTAGCTATTTGGAAGTTATATTCACTCGTATACTTTGGCACCCATTTAAATAACATTATTATGAGGTTAGCTATTTGGAAGTTAAGGATTCATTTGAAACTTTTTCATTCTATGTCTCATCTCATTGTAGTTTTAGACTATACGTGTATCTTTGTTATCATTTAATGATCGAATAAATTGGTTATGTGATTTCACAAAAAGACTTCGGGCTAAACTAATTAATGAACGAGATTCAATATTTTAGTACAATTTGGTTTACTTTTTTTACGGCCATGCACGTACTATTAGATTTTTTGTATTGAACTATAAGGAAAAGGTCAATTGAGTATATCAACTTGTATGAAGGGAAGTAAAGAATATACTATATTGCATTTGATATTTGCTAGATTAATACTCAGTATGTTAATATATATGGTCAAATCGGCTAACAACATGACGAGTAAGAAGGGATAGTCGACCAAGATCATGACAATTCGACCTTCAAAAGTCGACATGCAGGGTGCATTGATCAAGAGGAAGTCGACCAGCGGGGGACTGACCTAGATTAAGCGGAAGTTGACCAAGGGGCTGGTGCTAACTTTTACGAAGTAAATCTGTTATATTCTTTCAGCTAACTCAACCGTATTGACGTGTTAATCTAACGAATGCATTCAATTGGTACTAAAAATTCAAGTTTATATTATAAAAAATGTCAGGTGCGAGTTTAGTACTCCATCTTATGCGAGTTGATGTATTGAAGTCACTCTTATCCAGGGGCGTAACCAGGAAATTCATCTTGGGAGGGCGGTAGTTTAAACAAAAAAATTTCTTTAGGGGGTGAAAATTATTTTTCGTATATATATATACACTAAAAAAATTTTGTTGGAAGGGCGGTAGCCCCTGGGTCTGTACTACGGTCCGCCCCTGCTCTTATCTCATTTATTAAATAAACAAACCTCAAGTTATCTTTTTTTTTTATTATATCGGATTGGATTAAAAAAATCCCGAGTATAAATATGGCTAACCCATTCCCTGACAAGTGGCAAGACAGCAAAATGGTGGCTTGCAGCTGCTCTTTTCCTTGCTTCACAGTTTCAACCAGCAAGCCGATTTCTTCCTTTTCTCCTCCTCTTCAGCTACGCCTCACTGCGCCTTCAGTCGCAAAGCTCACTACTCTGCATTTGGATCAAATCGCACTCCGGCAGCCTCGGCAAAGCAGAGCTTCAAAACAAAACATTCCCAGTTTCTCGGTATGCAAGTACAGGACCGGCGTCCGATTCTCTGCTTAGTGGTTCAGTGCTATTTAAATTGATTCTGTCATTAACTTTATTCCGTCTGAAATTATATGATCGAAAAGGTTGTTGCATCGGAGAGCAAGGCGGAACCCTTGAGGATCATGATATCTGGGGCTCCGGCTTCCGGGAAAGGCACCCAATGTGAGCTCATTTCCAAAAAAGTAAATGCTATTTTTTTATTTTCTCTTCATTCGCTTTAATTCCTGAATGTTTCCACTAAATGTATGTGGTGTGGGGTAGTTTGGAACGATGTTTACACAGATTATTGGGTAGAGGTTTAGATTTTTGCAGGATGAGGCATTGAAATTGGGAATGGGCTTGGGTGTGAATGATTCCTATGGTCTGTTTGAAGAAATATTTAGCTTTAGATTTAGCCAGTCAAAACTTATCAATGATCATGCCATAGTTTGTTTCATCCTTAAGTTAAAGGGACACTATTGAATATACCAGTATACCACTATATTTTGCCAGGTGTACTGTAACACTAATACTTCTTTTCATGATTATATGTCTAATTGGATTTCCTCAAAACGCCATTGTCTTTAATGTGTGCTTCTGCCCTTGCAGTATGGTTTGGTGCACATTTCCGCTGGAGATTTACTACGGGCTGAAATTTCTGCTGGGACTGAAAATGGGAGGCGAGCAAAGGAATACATGGAGAAAGGGCAATTGGTTCCTGACGAAGTAGTTGTAATGGTATATTAAATATCTTTCCCATATTGTTCTTGATCTTGTCCATATCTTATTGTTGGTGGTTTTTTTATTTAAATACTTTTTTATTGGAACAGATGGTCAAAGAGCGTCTTATGCAACCAGATTCTCAAGAGAAGGGTTGGCTCTTGGATGGATACCCTCGTAGCTTATCTCAAGCAATAGCTCTTAAAGAATTTGGTTTCCAACCAGATCTCTTCATTGTTTTGGAAGTGAGGTTCTACCAATAACTGCTATCATTCATTTACCTCAAAGATGATTCAATAATAACATTACGTATATGATTTAATATTTGATGTGAGTTTTTATATCATATGCAAATTGTTGTTACCAAATCAATTTTAAGCTAATATCTTTTATGTGGAAATAGTTAGCATGGACTTGATGTGAGAAAAAGTTTTGCATTTACAGGTGCAAGAAGAAGTACTTGTTGACAGAGTGATAGGCCGCAGGTTGGATCCAGTAACTGGGAAGATATACCATCTGAAGTATGCTCCACCAGAGACCGATGAGGTTGCAGCAAGGCTTACTCAACGGTTTGATGACACAGAAGACAAGGTATGGTTAGTTTGCATGTGTCTAACCTCTTTTAATTAAGTGGGGTGGAGGGGAATTAACAATCAGGTCTTGAGTTGTTGGAGTTAGCTAGAATACTACTGACACTAGAGCTTCAGATATGTTATTAAATTGATCGGCAGTTCTTGATTTTACCAAAATAGTTTGCCTTGGGAATATGGTTTGAGTAAGGCTCAATCAAGATGTTTATTAGAGATCTTTAGTTATGTTTTCATAATGGTAAATTAAAATGCACCAAGGGGATACAGCCCAAAGATAAAGCAACAACAGAAAAGGAGCACCGCGTGCCTATACAAGTTCGAATCAACATAAGTCACTCAACAAAAGAGAGTGATCAGAATACTAATGATACTCCTCATGTAGTCAAATACGGAGTAAAAGTCTTTGTACAGAAAATTCTTTAATTTATCTATGATCATCTGAGTTCTGACTCCATAAAAGTACCAATCCCTCTCTTTATACTTAATAGTTTCTTTGGCATATGATGATCAACTATATTTGAAAAACACACAACAAAATGGAATTGGCGGTGCTGTGCTGCCTCAGGTGTCGTTTGCCTGCTTAATTGATCAATCGTTGTGTTTGTTAAACCCATTTGTTTATATGTTTCATTGTTTCCATCTTATATCTGTCGCCGATGCATCTTTCTGGGTTGGCTGATAAGTGTTTTTTAGAGATCACACATTATAATATCAAGATTGTCTTCAAGATTCTCAAAATCAAACACATATTTAGCTCTTTTTAATCCAATTGATTTTTCAGGTGAAGTTGCGTTTACAGACACATAATCAGAACGTACATTCAGTACTTTCATTGTATGAAGATATCACTTTGAAGGTATGTATCCCTCATTTTCACTGTGATGTCATTTTGTTAAGGAGAGAACCTAGTGTGCTGCTTGAATCATTCCGGATAATCTGGAAGAGAAACTCAAGATTATATGGAGTAGAAAATAAATTTTGGAAACCAGACGAAGTTATATGCGGTTATGTTGATATTTTTCAGAATTAACATTATTAAAATAAGCGTGAGTTGTATACGTTTATTAGGAAAAACACATTATGTAAGTTTTGAAGTATATAACCCACCAGACACTGGCAACTTTACCGAATGGACGTAAACTTTCCGCATGGATACATTAGTGCCGCCGTCACTGATCACATTGATGGCTTGCAGTGGAAACTTGTCCATGGCTGTAGTAAGTACAGTCATGTACATTCACTTTTGATTCAAAGTTCCAAACAAAATGAGCTTGAGTACAGTTCTGTCATGTGGATATGCAACAGAGTTTATCAAAGATTTTATGTTAATTAAAAAACGGGCTACTCCAACAATAAAGTTGCTCCTTTCCTAGTTTCCTGTATCATTTGCCTTTTGAGCTTGTATACATTATAGGTTGATGGAAGTGTATCCAAGGTGGAGGTGTTTGCTCTTATTGATAATGCTTTGACAAAGCTCGTCGAACAAAAACAATCTACACCGGGATCTTTGGTGGCATAAATCACAAAAAAACCTAAATGATGAATGAGTGGCAGAGGTCGTGACTGGGGTGTTTTGGGGATTCGTGGTTCACCGACATTGCTGATTGTACATTTGTACCATTGCAGTTTTTTTACCAATGCATGTTTGATGTTCCCATTATGTATACATACGAGAAAAATAATTAGCTTCTTATTTACTCTTTCTGAAATGTAAGAGAAATCCTATGTTTTTGGAATTTTCTGTTATTTTTTTAAATCCTCTCAAAAAAATGCGAGCTACTTCTTTTGATGAAGACATAACCAACCATTCTTTCGTGTAATTAATCATAGAAATGATATTTAATCAGATTAGTCAATGAAAAGAGGCAACCCAAAAATCAATTAGGTTTGCTGATTATATCAGCACACAAGCTAAAGAACTTTTACACAAACATTTTAAACCTAGGCATGGACCGGGCTGGGCTCCGGGCTGGTCATGGGTGGGCTTTTTGAGTTTGGCTTCTGGCCTGGAATTGGCCCAGGTTTTCACCGGGTCCGGGCCGGTCCCCGGGCTTCTTCATTTTTTTTTGCTTTTCTAATGAACACCCGACCCCCCCACCCCCAAACCCCCCCAAAACACCTAGCCCAACCCGGAAAAAAACTGAAAAAAAAGGCCCGAACTGGGTCCGGCCCGGCCGGTTCCTATTTTGGGTGATCCGAGACCGACTTGTATAACCCCCGGGCCGGTTCCAAACAGTGCCGGTCCAGGCCACGGGCCGGTCGGCCCGGAACCGGTCCACCACTATTTAAACCTGATTACAAACAAAGTATCATCCCAGACCATGCATTAGACATGGAGTCAGCGTCGGTTCCATACTTCCATGCCTAGATGCACTCATGCATTATCTAAACAAATTGCCTGGCTAGACATACAATTATGGGGTGTTCACAATGTGGACAAAATATGTGTACCAACAGCATTTGTGATTTTTCTAACTACTAGAAAAGTGAAATCGAACAAGAGATATGTGAACCTGATGACAAGTACTGCAGAGTACATTTTAACAACAATTAGTTTTGCAGTAGTAAACTTCAAGTTACGCAACAATTCATGGTGCTATATATGTTGATGCAAAGACCTAGCAATTATCTTAATTTCTATGGAGAGTAGACATGAAAAAAACTGACAACTAAAGGTCAACAAAGATTAACAACTTGGCAAAGTGCACTTTTTCTGAGAATGTCCTAACATATGGCAGCGACCACATTGAACAACTCTCTTTGGGCGTTTCAGACTTTCCAACCGGAGAACCTTCTTTTTTGGCCTGCCTGGCGGCCTTCGAGTTTTGGGTGGCCTAATCATCAAATCAACTTTAACTAACCCACCTTCCACTCCTCCAGTGTCTTCGTTCCATAGGCTTCTGTCAGGGACAGGATATATCATCTGAGAATAAGTCTCACGATAGCTGTGCACAGTGAAGCAAGATTCTACAAAAAGATGAGCATCCTGTCCACAAGAGATAAGTGCTGCAGTCGCATGTGCACATGGGATGCCATATAACTGCCAACGGCGGCATGAACACACTCTACTCCGTATGTCCACTATATTTGTCCTCTCTGATGAAACAATCTCAAACTCAATCTCATTCGCTCGAAGCACTTTATAGCAACGGGCATCCACTATAGCTTCCGCAATCCGTTTCTCCGCGGAAGGAACAAGAATTGAAGTCCATCTCATTCCCTTATTCCTCCGTTCACCAAACCATGAAACCATTTCTTGCCTTATGTGTTCCATCATTTGGACAATCGGAAGCTCATGACACACTTGAACCCAATTATACAATACCTCTGTCACTCCCAATGAGAAATGACCGTAACGTACCCCTTCAAAGAAGGCAACTGCCCAAAGCTGGGGGTTGAAGTGGTGAAACCAAGCAAGGACATCTTGTGAAATCTCCACCATCTCTGTTACCTTGCTCTCAAACTCAGAGGCCGTGAGTGCATACACGGCGTTCCAGAATATGTTGACCAGCTTTGAGTTCTTAAAAGTGTCCCTAAAGTTCTCGCTGATGTAACGCAAGCAAAAGCCGTGAAATGCACTCGGGAAATGGGTCCCAACCGCCTCTACCAAACTGGCCGTTCTTTCAGAGAGTATCGTGAGTCTTGGCGGCATGCTTTCCGTGTTCACCCCCAGAAGCTTCCGGAGCTCTGACGTAAACCACATCCAGTTCTCGTCACTCTCCACATCAACAACAGCTATCGCCAATGGGAAGAGTGTATCATCAGCATCAACAGCTGCGGCACATAGCAGTGTGCCTAAATACTTTCCTTTGAGATGTGCTCTATCAAGCTCCAAAAGCGGACGACAAGAGTTGACAAACCCATAGATTGCTGCTCTGTAGGAAATGAAAAGCCGCTGGAAGCTATTATCATGGTCTGTAGTGAACACAGAAGCAACACTTCCAGGGTTTGTCTTCCTAATCTGTAGTGGCAGAGCCAGAAATGTTGTATTAGGGATTGGAGCTAGAATCATTATCATATCAGAAGAAGAAATTATTTATACCCCTCTGCCCCAAAATTATCTTCATACTTTCATTTTCATATCAGTCCCAAAATTAAAATCCATTATCCTTTATAAAGGTTCATACTCATTCTCTCTCCTTTGAACAACTCTCGACCACACAATTAACACTCTAATCTACTTGAAAAGTCAAGTGGAATTAATATTGGGAGAGCGGTAAATATTTTCACATAAGTATACAGTAGACATAAATTGAGGGGGATGGGGCTAACCTGTTCGCAATATGGAGGGAGAAGCCTATAGCCTTCTTCGAATGTGCCATGTAAAGCAGCCATGCTTCGTTCCTTCCCTCGCCATGCTTGCATGTATGACACGGCAACACCATGCTGGTTTCGTATGTCCTGCAAAATCTCATTTGGTTTGTATTGTGGATTATCCCTCACTCGTGCTTCAACAGACCGAGCTACCCAGCCGACTGAAGCTTGTTGATGGTGAAGATTATGAACGCCTTCACATGTGTGGTCACTGTGAAGGGTTCTGACAGTGAATGTGTGAACTCCAGGACACTTTGCCACATGGATGCGCCATGGACACCCCTCTTTGGAGCACTTGGCTATAAACCTACTCCTATCTGACTTCACTATCCTCATTTCAAAATGTGAAGCTATTGCAATGTCTTTCAAAGCCCTTCTACAGGTATTCACATCTGGAAATTCTTGTCCGATCATTAAAGGCTGCTCTACTAATGAACCATTTGAGTTATTAGGTACAATATCCAAAATATGATCATCATCCAAACTGGGCAATACTGTTACATCTCCACCATCTATCACTGTAGTTGGTAATAATGCCTGATCATCTATCACTGTTAATGCTAACAATTCTTGATCATCCATAACTTGAGCTGTTTATCTATTCAAAAGTCTAAGTTAAATAGGTCCCTTTCCCCCAATCTCTCAGGGAGTGTAAAAACCATCCATTAAGTGTGAAGTGATCGAAACAGGCATCTACAAAATCCGAAAACACAGAAATGGATATAATTAAAAACTAGAAAATTCTAACATAAGACGTCCATATCAACCCATTGCAGCATTCATCACAAACATAAGCACCAAACATATATATAGCATGCAGGTAGAAACATTGATGATACAGAATAGAATGTAGCTCAGTTGATGTATATTAAACCAGTCAAACACGATGTTTGAGCTTACTAACACAAAAGCGGGTTCAAATGGCTCAATCCGTTTCAGAGAAAGCTCATGTTTTGCAGCGCCACAAAGATCTACAGGCCAAAAATGGGGAGCGATAGTAGCTGAACTGAAAACGAAACGTTAAATCATACAAACATGGATGTTCTGGGAGAGAAGGATAAAGCCTGGTGTGTGGCGAAGAGGATGATTGCAGGATGGGAACAGTCTACGGGTGTAAATAAGGTGATTTTGAAGGGCAATTAGAGAACCCTAGGTGAAATCCGGAAGAAAGAGAGGGATTGGAGAAAGGCCTCGACACGAGCCAGAAGCTGAGAATGACTCAGCTACCCTTTCATTTTTAGTTTCTTAAGAAATACGAGAGTAATCATTTTCCGGAATAATACTAATTAAATAAATAATTTTCAAAATATATATAGATTAAAAATATTTTTTAAAATATTGTTGGAGTTAACCGCAGTAAAGAAAAGTCGTCATTTGAAGTGGCGGTTCTAGTATGCAATATAAAAACCGTCACTTGAAGTGACAGTTCTTCTATACAGTACTAAAGCCGCTACTTCAAGTGATGGCTTTTCTGCGTAGCAAATTTGACAACTTAATCAACAAAAACAAAAACCTACTCTTTATAGTCAATATAGATCGCTACAAATCAAAACTTATACGAGAAGCAAAATGAATCAATGGTGTTAGAAATTTGGTAACCTAGTTCTCCACAGATGACTACGTCTGGAGGCGCTACCAAGCCAAAAATATTATTACTATTTTCGGATCCACGGGCATTACAAAGGGAGAGAGCTTGTATTTATAGAGAGTAAAACCTACCCCTAATCCAACTAGGAGGCTCGGCCAAAAAAAAAAAGAAAAAATAATCCGTACGGCCCAACTGTACGGAATCCGTATGGCCCAACTGTACGGAATTGTACAGAAAACTTGTTCGTCAAAAACGGACCAATTTTTTTGGATAAAGCTTGGTTATACAGTCTCTAAGAGCATCTTTAATGGGGAAGTGAATTGCACCCCATTAAAAATAGACACATCATCAATATGCATAGCCTATAAAGCTCACGTGGACATAAAATCAATAACAATAAAATTTGATCTCCAACGCAAATGTGTATCCTTCTAGCATGCTACTGATCGATACAAGTATGCTACTGATCGATCTCCTTCTAGCATTAATTTCCGGAAGGCATACAGTGAGAATGAAATCAATATGTAGTTTGGTTTAATTGATAATGGAATTAATAAGAAAGAGATTAAAAAATTACTTTTGATTCTTGCGCAACAAGAAGATTTGCAAGTCTTTGGCATCCTAGGGCACCGTGCTTCAGAAGATGCAAACAAAATTGACGAAAAAAATTGGGGCTCTTTTTATGCGTGCAGCGCCAAAATATTTGACGAACAAAAAAAGGTTTTGCTGAGTCACGCTGTCTAACTGACTTGCTGAATTGAGAAAGGCAGAGAGACGGTGTGGACAGTTGTCAACTCCACCTCATCTCCACAGGAAATAGAGACTCCTCCGTTGGAGACTGATTTTTTTACTTTGGTCAATTCCTAATTACGTGGCTGTGCATTATTAAGAATCGA